CCCCGTTTTTGTTCTTTTACATCGGCAGTAGTCGATACCGGGAGACACCAAATTCATTCCATGTTACTAGCGACTTGTGTTATAGAACTATTTTGACTGTTTTTTATGATGTTGTGGATCTGCGTTGTCAGTGCTGCCACAGCGCGGTACAAGATATTAGTGTCTATAGATGCAATGAAATTACTACAACTACAGCGTTTTGATATCACTAAAACTAATTAAATGGACATTCTCGGACAACTCAAGCACGTGTAGCTTGCCTCCATCTTCAGTCCATCTTCTCTATACCGGCAAGTATTATCCCGTCTGCTGCTTCGTCTACCCTTCCAGGAGCATAAGCTCCGACGCACTCAGTAGCGGGATTATTTGTATAGGTCCACTTGCAAGTTCTTATTCCATGTAGTAATTTCCACCGGATATGTGCGAATTTGCAGCACAGATTCAGGTTGACAGTAATTTTCCTGTCTCCCTGCTCATACTGATGCTCATTAGTTTCTAATGGCGACAGTGCATGCCGACGAAAGTATAGCTAGAGTAGCAAAAGCAATAGGCAAAACCCGAATTCTTAGAGTAGCGCTTGACCTGATCAAGCTTTAAAAGCTTCTGTAAAATTTTCTACCACTAACAGGCATTCTAGTGTGATTCACATGATCAGAATTTGAAATAAATCAGAATGATATTTGAGATGAAGGACAATATTTTCGACCTATTTAATCTCTGAAACTTGCGCGTATGTTCTCCAGCCCATGCCTTTTTCACGTCCACGCTGATGGTGCTGCCTTGATCTTGTACGTCTTGCACAAACATGTAAGAAGAGTGTTTAACTATCCATGAGGTTTCGATTTTCTGAATTGCTTGTTACTGTTCATAGCATCAACCACATGCTTGCGAAATTTTGCATGCTACTGCTTGTTCCCAGTTCCGATCTAAGCCTTGCTGATACTTCTATTTTAACCCCCACATCTGTTTTAAACAGCAATTTCTGTATAATGCACGTTTATGATCGGTATCCTTTTCTTGGGTTGTGTGTCCTATTCCTCAAGTCTCTCAGTCAGCAGCCTTCAAGCAGAGTAGTTTTGGAGTACAACAACGGTGCTGGCATCTTAACTCATAAATAACCAGAGCTTTTGCCAAAGGTTAGTCCAAAATTTGTTAGAAGTCCCTGGACTACAAAGGTGACCCCTCTAGCACGCAACCTGGACAAATGGCTGACCCTCTGCAAACCAAGGTAAGTATCTTTGAAGTATCAAATGTGATGGTCGGTTCAGATTCTTCCTTCCAGACCCACGACCAGCCATGAGACGGAACGACGAATTTGAAGACTAATTCACTTACACGGTTGTCACGTGTCCAGAAGAGGATAGGGTCCCTGCAGATACAGCTATGATAAAGATCTAGAAGATGTAAGGAATGAATGTCAAAGCATGGCTTATATCAGCACGCGCTTCAAAGTCTTGCAACAAATAAACGCTGGATCACGGATCAAGGTTGCAAGCCAACTCATGGTGCTCATTGACGGACGGCTAGGCTAAGACATCCAATAAACAGTTCAACAATTCATGGGGGTGGCGCAAGAAACGTTTTTGTAGAATGCTACGACCAAATTAGTCATATGATAGCCCCCTGCGACTTTAATGACAAAATGGACGATGAGATATGGATCATGCGCAAGTGACCAGGAAAAAGCGTTCAGGATATTTGCCGCAGACTAAGGAGCTCGTGGGTTTCTATGCGGAACTACCTGTGAGCGCAGAAGTAATGCCGGAAAATCCAACCATTTCGGTTCCTGAAGCGCGCAATGCCACGAGATTGGCAAGACAAGCTCTCAATCGGCGGAGATCGCTACGATAATCTGAGTGAACTGGTGATGTACTTCGAACGCCTTGGAATGCGCGAGACAGAACATTGTCGCAACAAATCGGGGTACAACAAATCTGTCAGCAGAGGGTACCACGCTTCAAATTACGACACACCCCGTAAACACCGCCGACAAACAAGATAAATTGCGAAGGAGGAATGACAAAATACCAACGCTACGAAAGGTGGGGCAAATACTGCACCTTTCACAAGTCGACGTCACACGACACGATATACTGCTTTGCGATAAAAGCAAAGGCCAATTGAGCATAGCAGCTACTTTTACAATGTCCTTGTAAGCCCTATTTCGTATCCTTGTGCGATGTTATGACATATGCATAGTGTTGTTTTGTTTCGTATACCTCTCTACCCATTTAATCAGTACAAGGGATGAGTGTCGGCTCAGTTTTTCGGGCAGTAAATAAATCTTCTTCACACTTAAACTAGGATGGTGTTTGTAGCGGAGCTACCACAGCTTAATAGTCGGAGGAAGATTTTTCGGGTTAAGCTAGAGGCTTACGGCCAAAAGCCAATTAGTTATAAGGAGATAACTTGTTAAGTCAAAGCGTCGGCTAGTTCTACGGAAATTAGTGCAGACTCTTTGATCTATTAGCTCAGACTACTGTAGTTTTAAGGAACTACACGCACAATGTGCAAAGGGGGATGCTGGAGTCTAATGACTCTCTAACCCACGAAAGTTCTACGGAAATGTCAAGAGCAAGGTGCGAAAGGGTAGAAGTCTACAGACTTCTGCTCAAAATGAGAACTGAATTTATTTAGGTTTACATCAAGAAAATTCCTGCTTTAAGTAGTCTATATTATACTGAACCAGAACAAATACAAATATCAGTATTCGAAATAAATCGATGGTTGTCACATCACTCAGTTATCAAATAATGAAGGTACAAAGTACTTCCACGGTAATTACCGTAGCTCTGAGTATACCGACTAATCGGTAGTCACTATTGATATTTTATCTGGGGCCACACCTGTCTCCCATATAACAAATACAAGGTCTTTTATCGATTTAGCCAATGGCTAGTGTGGCCCCGTTACAGTGTTGGTACAAATTTCAGCAGAGCGCTGATGCGCAAACGGGCATTGGATCCATAATAAAATGCGAACAGGAAAATTAATAAAATGATGTAGTAAAGACGAAGCTCCTTGATGAACCGCACTCTATAATAGGTTCGAAGTAGCTTGACCTCTGACTGATTCAGTGTTCATTTCATGGACGTTGAGGTCTTTCAAATGAAACGTTCGCTGCACGCATATAAGCAATTTTTACTTGCTAAGTCACTCTTCATTTCCAATCGACGCAGCATCACAAAAAACGTGCATACATTGGAAGGAGGAAAGGCCAGAGAGAATGAAATTGCTTTTGTTCTGCGAGTAAATTCTGATCATATTTCGATATGCCAAGACAATTAATTCGAGTTTGTAACAAAGGAGTCTTCTATTGTGTGGAAATTATCACTGTGGGGCTATGTAACGGGTTCACACTAGCCTTTGGCTGAATTGGTCAAAGACCTCCCATAAATGATATGGATGAATATGTGAGACCTTAGATTTTATATCAGCAAGAGAATATCGATTGATCGATATTCCCAGGTTTACGGTACTTACCGTGTACGTACTTTGTACCGTCATCATTTGATGACTGAGTAATGTGGCAACCATTTGTTTCGTTCGAATACTGATATTTGTGTTTAGGATAATATAGGGTACATGTAGTAGGATTTCTTTGATATAGAATCTAAATGAAGTTCAGTTCTCATTTTGAGCAGAAGCCCTTAGACCCCCCCCTTTCGCACCTTGCGTTTGACATTTCTTTAGAACTGTCGTGGGTTAGAGAGTCTTTAGACTCCGGTATTCCCCTTTCGCACATTGTGCGTGTAGTTCCTTAGAACTACAGTAGCTGAGCTGTTAGCTCGTAGAGTCCACCCAAGTTCCGTAGAACTGGGTAACTCTTTAACCTGATATATTAGTTCCGTAGAACTAAAAGGCTGTCAGCCGTAAGCCGTTGGCTTGTTGAATAAGTCTTCCTCTGACTTAAAGAGCTGTGTAGCTCCGCTGCAGGCTACGTATCTGCCTAATGTTGTTTAGAAAATATTTGCACCGTATACGTGCACATCCAGTCAAAAGCTGGTGAGACTACCCAGTTCCAGCAAATAGAGGTTTGTCCTTTTAGCGTGCTAGTCTAGTATGCGACAATACACGAATGGTCAATTTAATGTCTTGGGGCCTCCCTTTGTACATACGTTCGTTAAGTCATACGCATAGTAATCGCCCCGGTATATTTTATATTTTTTCATCTTGTGATGTATCTTTTCTTTTCCACTTTGTTTGGTTTAGATTAGATGTTTTGGTATATATTCTTATTTTCCCACCTTGTGACATCTTTTTGCATTTCTGCTTTATATATTCTTTTATTTTCCCCAGCATCCAAGCTTCTACAGGCAAATTGTGGAAATCGGCTAATTTCGTACTTATTCCTGTTTTCCAAGCGAGGTGTTATGCCAAACGGTGCGGAAAATGATGGATGATGTGTATCGCATGCAAAACGATAGACCTAGGAATCCCAACCTAGTAATTTACTGCACCTCGTCAACACTAGACAAATGATTGATTTAGAGGCAGAAGGTATGCAAAACAGGGTAGTGTTGCAGGCAACTAGCCCTTCAGCATATGCCATGCAACATTACAATAAAGTCGCAGCGAGTAAATGAACTTTTTACAGCGTGACATCTTTTGTGGTGAATAGTGCAGACTTTCATTACGAACAAGCACACATTCGTCGGTAATACCGCAGGTCATTTGGTGCCACAAATCAAATGCAAAGTCTGCGGCGCTGCCTGCCATGAACGGTGAAAGATGAATCGAACAGTTCAGTAGCGCAGTACATTTGATCGATATGGGTGATTCCGTGGCTCGTGGCATCCTTGAGCTTCGTAACCTCGCATTGGAACCGCTGATTTAAGTTAGGGGACATGTATAAATAAACACCATGGTCAGTAGCTGCCTCGAAGACCGATCACCATTTCGAGTTTTCGGAGCTCGGAACCGACCCACCCACACTCAAACCAAGCGAAACAAAAGGCAACAGTAGTGGAAACCGCGACCTCATCAATCAGATGTCGGAAATGGAAAAGGACCTCCAGGACGCGTACGCGGCACTCCAGCTGCTGCACACGGATCTCGCACTGTCGCGTCCTGACAATGGACTTCTCAGAGCTCCGCCCACGCACTTGCCAAGTCATGGATTGTATTCTCGTACGCCACGTATCGAAGAGAGACATGGTGGAATGCTCCGGATGTTTTCTGAAGACACGAAGTCCCGATCACGGTCCGTGACAATGCGGTCGGAGGACCCTTTTGCCGAAGGGACACGAGATCGTGTTTGCACGCAATGTGGACCCGCCGAGACGAACTCGCCCGAACTTGATGATTATCAAGTCAATGAGCTCAACGAGTTGGAAAAGTCGGCGCTCTTGACCAAACTGCAAAGCTTGACATCGACGGTGGAACAGCAGATGCAGACCATGTTGGCTCAACAAGCAAGTTTTGCACTGCAGAGAGAAGAGCTGGAGACGATGCTGGAGGAGACAGTGCACAAGCTGCAGGTGGAAAAGCGCAAAGTGGCAGATGCAGTGCTGGAGCAACAGACGGTCAAGGAGCAGTACGAGTTCTTGGAGACTCAAGTGGAGATCTTGCTTCGGGACAGGGAAAAGCTGCGTCAGCAACATGTGTGGACGATAGGTGAACTGAGAGAAGATTGTGCCAAATTGCAGACACGATTGGCAATCCCGGAGGCTGAGCGGGCTGCTGAGGCGAAGGAGTTCAATCAAATACATGAAGAGAGGGGGAAGCACCACGTTCTGTCAACTGGAAACTTGGAGACGAAGCTGAAAGACGCGTACAGGCAAGTTGCAGTATCCGAAAGTGCCCGAGCTACCGAGAAGAAGGAGTACGAGAGGAAACTTGAGATGGCGCTGAAAAGCGTGCAGGCACAGCAACCGGGTGGAGACGAACATGTGACGCCACACCTTGCCTGCACCGAGACTGAGCGTCACGTGCTATCGAACGGTAGGAACAATGAGCGCGTGAGGGTTGTAGAGATCGCTGGACATTACAAAACACCGGTTCAACCTGCCGTTTTAGGTAAGGAGATCATCAGCAGGAAATTCGGACAGCTCAGCACGCCGACGGACTTGCAGGTGAGGAGTGCTTCGATTGCCAATCGTCGACCAAGTAGAAGTCACAAAAGGACCTGTGCCACTCTAAAAGCTGATCACAGCGAAGCACGAGGCTACCTAGACGCAAGAATTGTCATCCGGGGACCGTCTTTGCGGGTGCATATATTGTTGAGTTGCTCGTAAAGGGTTTTCATGGGATCGATCATGGTGATTCTTCTGCCGTGTCTACAATGTAGTATTGGCTCTCTCACGGCCAGAGAGACCAGGGTAATGGGTGTTTTCTACTGCATCTTTCGACGGCATTAGAAGCTGTGACTGCTGCGATTAAAGATGGCAAAATTCTGCCTGGCATCCCAACCGTGCTGTGTGCGGAACCTCGCGGAAAAGCCCAGAATGAGAATGGCCAGCTAACCACATGTTCCATCTGCGCTTCACCGTTGCATTTTAATGCCGCACTGGATTCGCGCAATGGACCTGACACGAATTCAGTTGCCGTCGAGATCGCTTAACTGCTTCGCGAGTGTGTTGAAGATGCTCAGACTCATTAATTTATAAAAGTACGGCGCTGGCAGTAACGACTAATGCGAGTACGACCGGCATTTGATGGTGGCATCTGCAATTGCATCACGTGGAACTGCGCTGATCTTGGAAAGTCGGACAAATGATCGTACTAAATAACCGGAAGGAACACAATTACCTGGCACAGTTGGAAGCTTACCCAGTCATCTCGTCGTTGCAAATATCATCGTTTCGCCACTTGCGAGAGATCGCATTAGTAGGCTTGCGCATTGGGCCTGGACGAGATGGTTTCAGAGGTGGCCATAGAGATGATGCCTTTCTTCTCTGAATGAACATGATTCGTATGCAAAGCCGAGCGTACTACGTGCTAGCGGTCGAAGAAGCCACATGTATTCACGAACCCTCACTCAAGCAATAGCAAAACGACAGAGAAGAGAACGTCACGGCATTGCGCGGGATGCAGATCGACGTTGCGAGTGCTTCAACATGTCAACTTACGAGCACGCATCTGCATCTCCAATGAAGCTAGTTGCCGTGCAACAGTTCCAGTGCCCACATCACGTACTTCGTCATGAGTTCTGTCGTCAGCTTCGCGAACAACAAGTGCGAGCGCATGGATCCTCCAGGAGTGCTTGCGGAACCTACACATGGGGGTATGGAATGCACGAGATGTACACGATATAAACACACTTCATCATCGACATGGTGCACCTCGATTCTGTTTCATTATTCGCACTTGTTGCTTCACAGCAAGGCACTCGTCACCTGTCGCTGCTACAGCTTACTCCGCCTTCTTCTTGGCTTCCGCAAACATAAAGTCGTAATCTTGAATCTGGTTCGTTAACGCATCCCGTTCTCCCGTCAGTGTCGCGATCTGTTCGCGTTGGCGCTTCAGTTCCTCTTGCTGAGACGTGGCAGTCTCCAGCTGCTTGTTGAGCTTGTCCTTTTCCTCCATGAGCTGCATAAACGCAGCACTTTGTCCTTCTGCCTGCTTCTTGACGACGCCGACCTCGTCTTCTGCCTTTTTGCACTTTTCAACAGCAGTTTCCACCCGCTCTTCCAGGTCGGCATTCTCCTGAACCAATCTCGCGAGTAGATCCACCTTTGTCGACTTGTCGTCGTCTCCGTCGTCGCCTTTCAGCAACTCGTGCAACTTGTTCGCCTGCTTCTTCAAGCTCTCGTTCTCTTCCAAAAGACACTTGTAGCCATCTACCGCCCCTTCCGCCTGCTTCTTCATAGCTTCCAGACACTTTTCCAAGTGGAGGTTCGTCGCCAGTGCAATGTACACGAGACGCAGCAGCAGGAAGAGGAAGAGGCAAAAGCCGGTAATGTACATATCCCGCTGCGCCGTGAGCAAGCGGATGCGCATGCCATCGCCCAGAACTTCGTCCGACGCGTGGTGCTTGTACACAGTCGACACGTCCGCTGTGAGAGAGAGTCGCACATTGTAGGGGATTACAAGAGTTGCAATAGAAAATGACGTTAGGAAGGGATTTGGGTACACTGAAGCCTGCAAAGGGGACGTGACGAGACAAGGGGTTCGGTTTGCGTACAGATAAAGAGCACCGTGACCAAAGCGAGCACGACCGTGGCGATGGTATTGACCGCCTCTTTATGGCCCAAGTGGCGCACGAGGAACGACACGGCAGCGTGGGACAGCCACTGGCCGAACGGGAGACTCAGGACGAGGCAGATGCCGGCCTCGGTCACCATCATGTAGAACAGCACGTTGTTCAGCAGCATCTTCTTTCGCTCTGCTGGTACGAGATAGAGGATGACGATGAAATTGAAGACTGGTGGGATCTCTAGCTGTTCGGAATGGATTACCGGATGGGTACAGTACACGTTCTGAGGGATTCGGAACGAATACAGCGTTGCTTCTGATAAGCTTCTCTCCTCCTCCTCTGATAACTAATATTTCGCTACTTTCTAGGATAGGATGCCATCCGTGCTCTTTTTATGATTGTGCTGTAAGCGCCAGCTTTATGACTTCTAATTGATTGTCCTGAAGCGAGGTATAGTTTAAAGATGGAAAATTTGTACCAAATGTGGGGTATTCTACCTTTTCAAGACAAGTATCGAGGGTGGTTAATGGGGCGTTGGCACTGCAAACGCCTTCCTATAGGCTGCGGAGTAGTTTAGACGCATTATGGTGATTTTCCAGGGACAGATAATGCATGTGCAGGCACTCTTTAAAACACATACCTGCTCGCACTTGGTCAGTAGGTCTACAATTGCCTCCTCCTCCTCTACTCAGCTCCTTCTTTACATTCCTTTTCCTCCTACACGACGGTTAGAATCTCTTGGCTGTTGAGCTCTGGCTGAGCCCATTCGTCCTCTCTACTAAATTTAATGGGCTCATCCAAGGATAGTCAGCCAAAAATTACACCGTTTTTCCAACGAAGACCAACATCTCCAACAAACGACCAGGATGGCTAAGCGTCTCTATACATGAGCCACAACACGAACAAATAATGCAAACTAAACGGTGAGAAAGATGCTAATGGTTTTCAGGGCTATAATCCTGGTGAATTTAAGTACAATTTTTTGGTGGTGAAAAGGAGTGTGTTTTGGTTGAGCTTTTCACTTTTCAATCTTTTAATTATCGACTTTACTGTATGTGTCTGATAAATACTTGTTACTCAAGCGTTCGTTTTTTATTACGTAATTTAAAATTGGTATAATTCCCGGAAGTTGTCATTTCCACCACACTTTTTACTATTTCCACCACACTTTTTACTATTTCCACCACGCTTTTATTGTTTCCACCACACCGTACCTTCTAATCGAATAGTTTCAGCGCACCGTACCATACTACCGCGTTTCCACACACTCTTGTATACGAATAGTCGGAGACTTTCCGGGTGCAATATTTATAAAATTGTGGAAATAAGTCGAAAAAGCAGCTAATTCGTTTACTTCCCTACACATACCAATCTTTCACTTGCTGGTTCCTCAGCGTTCGATCGCCAACCTAAAGTTTAGAGTAGATAAATCACATTTTTCCATATCATTGTAAACCATCGTTCACTAGAAAGAATCTTATCTATCTATTTATTATCTGTCCAAAAACTCAAAAACAAGCTGAGACCATTGTGTACTCGCCAGCGCCCATCACGCGAAAAAAGAGCGACGACTACTACAAGGATGAAGAGTGAGACAAGACAATATATCGTGGAGGGGTTTATCTGCTGCGGATGTTGATTAAAAACTTAAATTGAAGATCGTCACTGACTTTGTAGACGAGCGCCAGGAAGTCACGTACGCGGCAAGAGACACGTGTACATACTGTTGAAACTTAGACGGATGGGTACAGTACACGTTCTAAGGGATTTGGATATGTTGCGCATATTTATTAAGTAGAATAAAAAGTGGGACGTGTTTATTAAGGTTTCAAATTCGGTCCAACCCTTACCACCCACGCCTATGCTTTTTATAGTCATGGGTGTTATAACTGACTATTGGTCGGTGGACGTGGGCGGGTGCGCTCAATCTATGAGTCAGTTCACTTTTGGTTAAACTCGAGTCTCTTTACTTTCGGCCTCATCGTGACAGGTTTTTAGCTGCTGGCCGGATCCTAATCGCCGATTCTTATCCTTAGGAATCCGCTGCTTTTTGCTTTAGACCGGTACTCGAACCGGCTCATCCTTGCTGTAACGGGGTGAATCGTTACATAACAATTTATAAGAAATTGTTAATAAAATATAACTATAAGAGTTTTATTCTCAGAATATTGTCATAAGGACAAATATTCTGTAGCACTTACGAATAGTTCCTAATTGGTTGATATAGGCCATTATATCAACCAACGAAGACGCGCCACGACAGACGCACGCAATGAGTGGTGAGCAGATAGTTGATTTACACATTTGTATTTAGACATAGTTAGATGAAGATAAATAGTGATTTATTGCAGACATTAACTATTATAAATACAGTTCTACTTTTTACTTTAACCAAGTACTCGCTTCTTCTTACCGTCTTCCTCTGCACGTACGAGTGTACGTGAAGTTACGAGGCACAGCCTTATTCTGTCATCAGAATAAGTAGCTTGTACTGTCACCAGTACAAGCTTCAGGGTGCCCCGTTACACCTGGTAGCACTTCGTAGTCCGTCCAAGGACCGCGTTCACATCCAACATGAATATGTTGGATGATGAAGATGACCAAAGCTTTCACGCTACGCGTGACGGCTACTCCCATTTGAGCGATGTCGAATGGAATGCGGTTGAACGGATGGGTTCGACCATGGGCATCCATGCTGTTAGCGTCATGCTAGAGGCTCTCAATAGAGATGCCCAACATGCTACTATCGCCAAGTTCATTCAAAATGAACTTGACGCAGAACGCGAGAAAGTAGCCTTGCTTCACCAACAAGGTTCTCAACAAGCAGAGTTGTTGAGAGAACAGGGTGCTCAACAGTTTGAGCTGTTGAGACAGCAGCAGGCTGCTGCTGGTGGGTCGATGCACTCGCGTCGACCCGAGACTTTGAAGATTGACATCTCCAAGTTTAGGGGGGTCGAAGAAGACTCCCTCTTGAGATGGTTCGTCGAATTGGATGACGCCATAAGGGCGCGTCGCATCGACGACGGAGATATGCAAGTTGCATTTGCCCAGTCAAATCTGGCAGGACGTGCCAAGACTTGGGCACTGGGGCTCAAGTTGCACGACCCATATGCATTTGGGTCGTTGGAAGTCTTCAAGTCGCGGCTCAGACAAACGTTTGAACCGCCTAGAGCTGAGTTCAGGGCTCGAACCGAACTCTTGAAGCTCAAACAGGGTAAGCGTGATGTGCACGCTTACGCTCAACATATACGACATCTCACGAGTTGTATAAGTTCCAATCCGGTGGATGAACACACGTTGGTTTCGGTGTTCATGCAGGGTCTTGCGGATGGTCCCGTCAAGACTCACCTGTTCCGGCTTGAACTAGATTCACTAGAACAAGCCATTTCCATTGCGGAGCAGGAAGACTTCAGTCTGAGACAGGC